TCTTAACTATTGCTCGTATTTCTAGATTGCTATCTCTAGATTGAATATCCTCTAAGTCTATAATTTCTTGCTCCGGCTTTTTCGGTTCATCATATATATCCCCAACTGCCTGTCAGGACCATTCACTAAGTTTTTTGCAAGATTTTTTAAGCTTTTGATGCAGCCTCCACATAGCATTTCTTATTACTTCTTCCCCCAGATTTCTTTCACAATTGTAATGAAGTCCTTGTGTTCCACTCAAAAATCCAAGAATTTAAAATATCTTGGTCCCAAGATATCATTCTTTTTCAAAGAGATCAACAATGGAGCATGGTCAAAGCTTGTTCAGGCTAAGTGTTGTACTGTAATATCACGCATGACATCTTCCCATTCTTCATTAATCAACATCATATCTAGTATCATCCATATGGTCTTTGGAATGCCTCTATTATCACTCCGCGTAAACTTGTTTTCATAGATTCCTACATCTTTCCCTCTACAATCATCTTTACAAGTTTAAAAATCAAAGTTATTTTCAAGTCTATGTGGTTTGCCTCCATTTTCTTAAATCGTCCCATAATTGCATTCGCTGACCAGGAGTGCATTTAGAAAATACTATTATAAGGTGGATAGGTACCGAACTGGATTGAGTTAGAGCTCTGCATATTACTTGTTGCTAGGTCTCATCCAGAATGTGGACAGCCAGATCGTTCGTCCAAAACAACCAAATTTTGTTATTGCAATTGGAATAACATTGTTGGGTGCCTAATTTCAATTTGTATCTTTGGATTTTTGTTGCTCTAACCATTGGTTCTTGTATAGCAATAAAAGGAATATTGAACTGAGTTTGAATGTATTTGAGTCTAACTGAAGCTTTTTGGGAATTCATTCCCCTAATATTTCATGAGAGTGTTAAACATGGGAAACACTAGGGTTGATTTCCTTTGTCATCTTCTTGTTCTTCCTTGTAGCACTTAGTACTTGATGTACCTCTAGGTGAGAGGTTGTTATTTTGTGTCACCTTATCTTGATCACTTGATAGAGTTATTGGGTTAATCTCAAAGTCAAGGGATCTTTGTGTTCTTCTCATGTTCTCATCTCCTAATTTGGTTGTCTCATCTTCATCTTTGTTGAGGTCCATTTCTATGTCGTGAGTTTCTGGAACTGTATCAGTGTTCCAATATTGCTCAGTGTACCCTTGGTCTTAATTAGAGGCAAAATCGTATGTTGAATAGGTGAACCCCCCGGTGTAATCTCTTGAACTTAAATGGCCATGGATAAGTTCAATATTTTTCTGATTTTGTCCCCCTTTATCTCCACATTACATAGCTTCAAAGTAGGGAAAAGAGTATCAGTTTTCATTTTATTGCCCTCGGTCAATGCTGGTAGGTTCTGATCTAGAATTTTGGATGCAAACTTTTTCCTTCTGTCTTTAGGGCATTTCTTGATATGCTTCTCAAGAAATAGTAACTAGTCCCTTCTCCACATTGACTATGTAGTCTTCCAAGTGACCTGTCACATATGTTCTTCCTCTCCTCGACTTCTTCCATTTTTTTGTCCTTTGAGTTTTTCATTATTTTTCTTCTCTTTTTTCTTTCCCTTTCTTCTTGCTTCTTTGACTACTGGAACCAATTCTATTTTATGTTCCTCCATTTGTATATTTAATTGGATCGAGGCTTCGTAGGGTGTGACTTCCATTTGTATGGGTCTTACTCCATTGCAATAGTTTTTCATGTGGGTGGGAGATTATCCAACACATTCAGACTACTAGTGATTCCTTTGTTCTTATTATTCAGTTGTGACTCTTTTTTCTCGTTCTTTGTGTTTTTTTTACTTTTCTCCATCCTTATGTTTCTCCCTCGGGATTTTCCCTAGTTTTACCAGCCTTCGCAATATTCCCCAAAGCGTCCACTTTAGGATGTTGCAACCTGCAATGGGCATCTGAATGCCCTTGCATCTTGCAGTAAAAAATAGAGATTAGGGACATTGATCAATTGCAGAAAAGAGTTTAATTCTCCTAAGGCCTCGATCAAAGCAACTTCCACTTCGTTCAGCCTAGGTCGTGTCAGTTCTATCTCCACTCGAGCATTGGTTGTAGTTGGTCTAGTCCCAGACAGTGTTACCTTATCTAGTGCAATCAAGGCATCTAATGGTTCCAGAATCTTCTTCATTAATGTTAAGTCATAGTAGTGTCGCGGTATGTCCGGTAATGTCACCCATATTGATACAATCCAGATTGCATCAAGGTCATTCACTAGAAGTCAAGCACGAGACCTTCAAAGGATGCAAGGGTTATTCATGAAGTTGGAGGTCCTCGATATGGTATTGATGGCGAACAAGGGATTTCATGCCTTGAAGATTGCATGGGGGAGTGCTGACCATTTTGGCAAGCCAGAGCCAATCGATTGATCGCCCAAGCCCTTGGGCGATAACCCCAGCTCGCCCAAATCTATAGAACGTGGCTAGGAGCATTACGCAGCAGGAATCAATGTCGAACAGAAGGGCAGATCGCCGAGTCTACTAGGTGAGCCCGACTTGGCTCGCCTTTTGTCATTTTTGGGCCTTTTAACCTAAAACTATAAATAGCTAGTTTGGGTCCATTTTAGAGTTAGACTATTTTGAATATTGATGTTGAAAACTGAAAACTCATGTTTGAGTGTTGAGAGCTTGGTTAAGTTTCTGTTGATTGTTGTTTAGAAACGTCAGTTGCTTGGGATATCGATTCCCTTGAGGTCGTCATAAGAGTTTGGTGCTATAGTTGGATTAACGAATCAAGGTCTTATGGTTTAATATACCCTTTGGCTGCTTTTTTTTCCCTCTTGTGTGTCTATCTATCTTTATTTCTTGCATTTTCGATTTCCGCATTGTATTATGATTCTCCTTGTGAGAATTACATCACACACTGCGACGACTGTAGCATCTCTTGAAGTCATCTTATTTTGAGAAATCAAGAAACACATGTCTCCAGACATATTCCCCAATCTTAATTGTATCTCGCATTGGGAACATTCTCTTGAATTCATCTCTTAACCTGTCGGGACATGTGCAATAGAATTTTCCCATCATGGTCATCGTGCACTTTTCTGCTACTATCGCATCTTCCTCTTTAGAGAAGATCACTTTGGCCCTTCCATCAACAAGTTCATAAGGCTTGTTTTCCAATCGTATTATCTTTTTTCCTCGTCCTAGCGCTGCTGCAAAGTTCTGTTGAGGTTGTTCCCCATTGTGCTTGGTTGGTATGGATTAGATTGTTGTAGTAGTTGGTTGCCGATGGCCCGATGGCTAGTTGAATTTGCCGCCACCATCGAAGTTGGAGTTAGGTTTCAAGAAGTTTTGTTGCACGCAAGGCACGTTTTGTTTGATGTAATTTTTGAAATTTGTGTTTATTTGATTGTATCTTTTAAAAATATATGGTATAAATATTAAAAGTGGTAATATATGTAATTGTTTGAAAGTAAAGATAATGTTAATATAATATATATGGTAGAGGGTGTATATCTGGTTAGGTAGTTTTTCCTTAAATTTATTGAGATTAAGTGGGCCATAGTCATGACCCAATCCAATTTTTAACCCGTTGGAGCTCAAAGCAAATTTAGACGGGGAATGACTCAATCTAATTTCTATTTCAACTCATTTTAATATCTTTAATTTCAATCCAACCAATCCATTTGACACCCCTAATTTTTTTCTTTTGATTTCCAACAGTAGGATTTTGCTTTGGTTGTTTAGGTGATAAACCTCTTTGCATATACAAATAATCAATATCCTTTTGCACAATATTCACACCAATAAAAGTATCACCAAAGAATTGTATCAAGTGTTAAACAGTTCCATCAGAAGTACTGTTATCTTTATCTAGAGACTTATATTGGTCATCAAAGATTTTGTCTTTTTCCTTTGAACAGAGGATTAATATGCACGTTTGCCAGTGAGTTAGGAGCAGGTTCTTCAACCAAATGATCAAATCTAGAGCCGTTAATATTGGCTAGGTCCGTTGGCCGGTCTGGCCTAACTTGTGATTTAATAGGGTTAGACTATGATTTTTGGCACCTATTTAAGAAAAGGGCTTTTAAGCCCGACTTGAAAAAGTCTGCCGATTTGTGGGGCTAGAGCCGGCCCAAATAATATTTAATTAAAAAATAAAAATAAAATAGAGTATTAAAAATAACAAGAGTTTAAACTCAAAATCTATTTAATATTAGAAATATTACAATTTAAATACAAAATATGTTTATAAAATATCTACTACATAAAATAAAAATTCACTAAAATTTCTAGGGAATCACTACATAGGCCATAACCTATGAAATATTGTCATAGTTTTTTGTGTTTTATTATGATCATTAGAAAATAATTAGGTTAACATTTTTATTTAGCTATTTATACTTTTACTTGAAATCAAACTTAATAAATATTATAAAGATAATTTTATTTGTGTATTTGATTAACAAGTAGTAACACTAACACCATGTAATATTATCTTGTCGATATTTATGATAATATTTTTAATTATAAATTAATTTAAAAAACTATAAAAAATATACTTTTAAGAAAAGAGGGCTAACCCGACAAAGCCCATAGCCCACATACTTGTAGGTTGGACTAACCTTTTTCTAGCACACACAAAAAATGAGTTAGCCCAGTCTGGCCCATCAAATTTCAAAGCCTATATGAGTTGGCCCCGATGGAGTGATCTAGCCCATATTGACATCTCTAATCAAATCTATTACTAGTAGATACGTGTCGGGTATGTAACAGGGTCATTCCCAGAATCATTCTGAACCGTAACAAGGCCTTGGGTTCATCATTAGGAACACTATTTTTACTTTCATCTTAACACTACAAAAATAGATGTGGAGAATTCCATTTTTACGTATGCAAATAAATATATTTAACTGAGAAGTAACAAAAGATTAATAGTGTCCCACCACAAGGACATCTTTTCAAATATGAAAAGATCATAATATGTTCCACTAGAACCGATCGACAGCATCTTAACATAGCAAATATTGTATAACGGAATTTCAGTGAAGCGGCAAAAGCATGGAGTTTAAGACAGTCACACATGAGCTTGGCACTACTTGTGTACCAGTGTATATATCACTAGACACTAGTTATATATACTAACTAATCATTTACAGATTTGGATCAGCAATATGTGCAGTGAAGTCATTACCCTGTGTCATACTATATGACAATACATTACATGTATTAGCACCAAAACGTTGAGATATTCTTCCCAAACTCACAAGACGAGGGCAGACAAGAAACATCTCTTCCCTAAAGTCTTCGAGTTAGTCATCTGCCAACCATGGCCATCTTCATAGCATTCAACCTGCCATGAATTGCAGGCAACTTATAAGGCAAAGATTGGATAAATATTCTAAACCAAGGTGGAAGTGATAAATGCTTAAAGTAATATACCGAATTTAGAATTTCCTCTTGATCGTTTACCCCGCCAAATACAAATATTTTTCCTCCTATCACAACTGCTCCAGAGTAACCCCTGGGACCGTTCATCTGCTCTCCCATCACCCATGAACCAAACCGTGGATCAAGTATCTCAACAGATGAAACCATCTTCTCTCCATCATAACCACCCAAGGAATATCTGCGAGAATAAATTTGTACGTCCGGATATAATCATCTTCAAACACAATGTACAAACATGAAATCAGGACCTTCTAAGGTCCGGTAACTACTGGTAATAGGGCAATAAAATACAAAATCAGTTAATAGTCACTGAGCTCAATCCTACCACCTTTACCCTCCCAAATATTTCTCGTACCATCCATTACCTTAAACCTGCTATAGAAAAACTTGCAAAGGACAAAGTGACTGACCACCCATTAACAATCATTCGAGGACCATGAAATACAGGTAAAATAGTTCAATGGTAAAATTAACATATCTAACAGAGGCTTCTAACAGAAATGGACTTACAACTTCTCATTGTAGGCAACCAAAGAGTGGCATCCCCTCCTCGTTTTCATGCATCCCACTGTAGTCCATGTATGTTCCCTCGGGTCAAATCTTTCAACAGATCTAAGTGTAGAACCAAATATCACAGTCAGAAATAAATGCACTCCAAACAGAATCTAGACAAAAGTGTCATTACTATTTATTAGGTAAAAGCGCCGTATGGTCATACATCCACACCCAATAAACCATGGTATGAAGCACCCATTGAAACCAAAAGGCAAACCATATCTAACCTCTAGTAATTATCAAGAGAGCAGAGAAGAATTATCAGTTACATCTTTATTATCAAGTCAAAGGGTGGCACTGGGCCGGGCCAGGCCGGGTCGGTTCACTGATTATGGAACCCGGCCAGTCCGTGACCGGGTTGGGAGTACCAGGTCCACTGGTCCATATTGGGTGTGAAGTGACCCATGCGGTTCCGGGCAAGACCAGGCGGAATTTCAAAAAGATGTGATAACTGTTTAAATGGGTTCAAATTACACCACGGAAAGCAAAACCTCATATATAGTTACGTTCTAACTAAGAGCTGATAATACTATTTGGGGAAAATTGTGTGTCAAGCAGAGTATATGACTTCCCCAACATCAATGAATGCTTCACTATTTAGGTATTCACAGAGAACTCTTGGAATTAAGAGAAACGCAATCCTAGTTTCTTTAAAGTGTATGATGTTATTTATATTATATAGAAAATTGATAATCTAGATTTTATTTCGGCTTTTACTACTGATACAAATTGATAATCTAGATTTATTTCGGCTTTTACTACTGATACAACCCAGCTTACTCAATCTAAAAAGAACACAGACATACATATCTATAAATATATTACGAACTAATAGTTATATATATAGTGTCCCAATGCGGGTTTGACAGCTACCTGCAGCACAATGTCCCCACCGCCTGGCAGGCCAAAGAGGTGACCATGAACCATGAGTCTAGAAATGATTGGGAGAAGCACATGAAAAAAGTGAAACAAAAGATCCACCTTACTTGACCAGCTAGGAAAAACTAAACGGGATATGACCTACACAATTACACCTTCCTACATAAGATAACAGGGTTGTCATAAAACAGTTTCTAAAAGCTGGATATATAAAACACATACAAGGACTTATCCTGAAAAAAAAAAGGGCACAGATGTTTCATAAAAGATATGGTACATACGAAAGTGGATATGATTTGAAGCATGCAACAAACGGCTAAATAAAATGAATTACTGGAAAATCACAGGAAACTGAGCCTTAAGGAAGATAAGTCAGCAACAACACTAATTCTTACTTCGTATAAGCCTTCCCATCATAACCACCAGCAACATATATAGCACCATTAATATCTGTTGCTGCTGGAGCAAACCGCTGCAATATATGCAAAAAAAAATATAAAAATAATACATATCAATTGAATTGAGCAAACTTCAGAATATATTGCTTCCAGCTTATCTAAGAAAAAGACGCACACTTTTCTCATTAACAGAGCAACATGCTTGGTGATACCAACTCAAATAAGTCCTGTACAACACCATAAATTGTAATTAACTGGATGATACCTTTTGCATCATTGACTGAGCAGAGATCCAATGTCCAAGGTTCAAGTCAAACATTTCTACCTGTGAAAAACATTGAACACCATTTCCACCACCAAAAGCAAAAATTTTGTCATTCAAAGAAGCTCCAGCTAAGCAGCCCTTCTTCTCATTCAATGAAGGTTGTTGACTCCATTGATTTCTCAATGGATTGTACGATTCAACTAGAAATGAGCAAGTAATGTCAACACATTTCTTTTGGAAACATACAAAAATGGGAGAAGGAACAACCTCAATTCTTATACCTGTATTGAAATACACATTATTATGCACCCCACCAAGTACAAAAAGTTCACCATTTAATTTCACTGCCGCCGCATGCGATCTTGGAAAGGTCATCTGGCTAAGTGTTTCCACACGATCGTGCGAAGGAAAGTAGGAATCCAAGGATGGCATCCATGAAGAGCCATTATATCCCCCACAATGACCACGGAATCATTAATTCCTGGAGGAAGTTGTCCTCGTGGTACGTGTACTTCCTCAAGAGCCCTTGAGGCATACAACAGCCCAGGTACCAATTCATTAAGCATGTTCATGAATTGTCGCAGTTCCAATTTGTAATGAACCTTTACATGTAACAAGCAAATAAACTTGATGAACTGAAAGCTCATATAATTCAACAAACGAAAGGCACAATTTACTATAACAGGTTTAGCATTAGCTTCAAAATTTCTTACTTTTGTGTTTTGTGGCACAGAGAGGACCTCCATAACTACCTCTCAGAACTATGTGCAAACACAAAGATACAAATACATAATATTCGGGAGAGTTCACGACTAACGTACATAAGCATCAGGTACTTCAATACAATAGCCATAACTAGAGTAAACCGTAAAAAATTTTAGGAAGCCCTTGTAATTTTTTCCAAAACAGACACTGCCTCTCCGGAAGTATATGATTTAATGCATAATTAACATGAATTTGTTGAGCTCAAGAGTTAAACGTACCTAACACCCTATAAATTATTGCTCTTGACTCTCTACATAAAGTATCCTTGGAGAGACACAAAGCTCAATACTGCCTTCAATTCAAACTTAATATTCATGTCTCCTCCTCATCTTCAAATTAACATCCATTTTCTTAGAAGTATTGAAAATATGTCATGCAACATTAAAAGTTCTATGTAGACCACACTACTCTTCATATTAAAATGATTTTCCTATCCTATTACCGAAAAACCAAAAGGTAACATGTAGATCTCTATGTAACACTTGAAATATACTAAATGACACTCCATGCCTATTTTTAGGAGAACACTTTGACATGGAGACTATTAATTTTCAAGAGTTAGATTTTGCTTATTATCCATTAGGAACATGTCGAGTTATTTGTGTTATAGGAATGAAATAGGAAAAGTTGCATAATAAGGTGTTGAAAGTGATGCCTCAAAACCTAGAAATTAGTTCCACTTTCTGTTGTATCAATATATAGCTTAAAAGTAGGATTAAGTTCAGATAAATAAGGCTGCAGTATTTGGCAGAATCTGATTAGTCAGTTGCTATATTTTAGGCTTTAGTTATTGGAGATAATGTTAAGCTTATTTTACTCCTTTTCTTTAGCTTTTTAAGTTATGAATTCATGTATTTATATTGCAGTCATTATTTCAATACAAAAATGCAACTTAACCTTGTTATCTTTTCTTTTCTTTCTTAGTCAATATTTGTTATTCTCCTACATATTGTATCAGAGCATTGCCATCTTGAGGGACCTGTGAGAAGAGAGTGAACCATATAAACCTTTCTTTGAACTACTATCTTAAATAGTTTATAGAAAATGAATTGTGAAACAAGCTTCTTAACTCCACCAATCTTCAATCGTGAGAATTATCAAGCTTGGGCAATTAGAATGACGGTTCGTCTTGAAGCCCTGGATCTCTGGGAAGCAGTTGAAGAGGATTATGAAGTAACTCCACTCGGTGATAATCCAACAATGAATCAGATGAAACATCACAAGGAGATTAAGACAAGGAAAGCCAAAGCTAAGGCTTTCCTTTTCTCTGCAGTATCCCCTTCAATTCTTACCAGAATTATGCAAATGAAGTCTGCCACAGAAATTTGGGAGTATCTCAAAGAAGAATACCCAGGAAATGAAAGAGTGCAGAATATGCAAGTGATGAATCTGATTTGAGAATTTGAAATGAAGAGAAAGAAAGAATCAGAAACTATAAAAGACTATGTAGACCAACTACTCGACTTGGCCAACAAGGTGAGCTTGTTTGGTAAGGATTTCGCTGATGAAAGAATTGTTCAAAAGATTCTTGTTACACTTCCTGAGAAATATGAAGCCACAATTTCTTCTTCAGAGAATTCTAAAGATCTGTCAAGCGTTACCTTGGCAAAACTTGTTAAAGCTTTGCAGGCATTGGAGCAAAGGAGATTAATGAGGAAAGAAGGTTCTGTTGAAAGTGCTTTTCAAGCTAATTCACATAACAACGAGTCAAACAAAGGAGGGAAAAAGAACAAAAAGCAGGCCAAGCAATAATTACAACAATCAGGGAGGAAGTCAGCCTCCCTGCCATCATTGCAAAAAGACAAATCACTCTCAACAGAAGTGTTGGTGGAGACCAGGTGTCAAGTGCAACAAATGTGGTCAATTACGCCATGTGGAGAGGGTATGCAAGTCACAACCGCAACAAGAAGAAGCTAAGGTTGCTGTAAATCAATATCAAGAAGAGCAATTATTTGTAGCAACTTGTTTTGCTAGCAAAAGCGCTTCTGAAAGTTGGTTAATTGATAGTGGATGCACAAATCATATGACCAACGACCAAGAACTCTTTAAAGATCTAGATAGATCTTTTATTTCCAAAGTGAAAATTGGAAATGGAGAATATCTCGATGCGAGAGGAAGAGGAACTGTTGCAATTGAAAGCCTTACAGGTTTGAAACTTATAGTTGATGTTCTTTTTGTTCCTGATCTTGATCAAAACCTCTAAAGTGTTGGACAGCTACTTGAAAATGGTTTGAAAGTGTTGTTTGAAGAAAAAGCATGTGTCATCAAAGATGCTAATAATAAAGAGATGTTCAAGGTCAAGATGAGAGGAAAAAGTTTTTCCTTGAACCTATTGGGCGAGGAGCAAGAAGCAGTTATGCAGTTGGAAAATAACTCAGAACTATGGCACAACAGACTCGTACATTTCATCATGATGCTATACTCTTCATGAAAGAAAATCAACCAGCAGAAGGTCTTCCAAGCCTTGAGAAGAACCTGCCTGCTTGTGAAGCTTGTTAGTATGGGAAGCAAACAAGGTTGCCTTTTCAGAATTCATCATGGAGGGCAAAGCAGAAGCTGCAACTTATTCACACGGATGTAGGCAGACCTCAGAAAACATCATCTTTAAAGGGTAGCAAGTACTATATTGCCTTTATTGATGATTGTACCACATATTGTTGGATTTATTTTTGAATTATAAATCTGAGGTCGTTGATGAATTCTGGAAATACAAGGCTTTAGTGGAAAATCAGAGTGGTTGCTGAATAATGGAACCGAGTATACTTCAGAAAAATTCAGTAAGTTTTGTAATGAAGCAGGAATTGAGCTTCAGCTAACAACACCCTATACTCCCCAACAAAATGGAGTAGTGGAAAGAAAAAATAGGACGCTAATGGAGATGACAAAGTGTTTGCTCCATGAGAAAGGACTGCCAAAGAAATTTTGGGTTGAAGCTGCAAATACTACAGTATTTCTGCTAAACAGATTGCCAACTAAGGCCTTGCAAAAGAAGACACCATTTGAGGCTTGGTTGGTTACAAACCTTTGCTAACAATCTGAAAATATTTGGTTGTCTTTGTTTTTCTTATGTACCTCAGGTCAGGGGCGGCTCAACGTAATTTGAGGCCTAAAACGAAATTTTAATTGAGGCCTACATCTATATAAATATCAAATATAGTATTTAATTTTTAAAAAAATTTTAAGTGCAAATTATTACTTGATATCTTTTCTTAAAATATTTTTTTTCGAATATCGTTTTTAATTATTAATTTTAAGTAATATTTTATCAATTCAACATTGAAAAATATTCTTTTGCTGAGGCAATCATTATATAAATTGTTAACATAATACTATAAGTAATAAGTTGACAAGCTTTACATAAAGATAAGAATTAGAACCATAAAATCTGATACAAGAAATTGATAACTTGGTATAAGTTATAACCCTACTTTAATATGTTTATGTAATACTTGAATATTTAAGAAGAAACAAACAAAAGAAAAATTGTAAGTCACTTTGTTGAATTTTTTCGACTTTTAATTTATATTTTTGACAGTGTATTACTCTAACTTATCAAAAAAAATTAAAAAGAAAGTGCAAAATAATTTTAAAAAGATAAATAATACGAGTGTTAGCGAAGAGAATGTAAACATACAAAATAATGTTTTCTTAATTTCTTCTATTTGATTGGCGTTAAAAATAATAAAATAATATATATTTGTTTAAAATTATACTTTTTAAGTAAAAATAATTATTTTTTAATTAAAAAAATTAACACATAATTTTTTCTTGATGAAAATTTGAGGCCCCCAATTTATGTGCCTTAAATTTATCAAGCAAGAGTCGGCACTGCCTCAGGTGAAAAGAGATAAGTTGGATAAGAAGGCTGAACCTGGAATTTTTGTAGGATACAGCAGTCTCTCAAAAGCTTATAGGATCTATCAACCTCAAAATGACAAAATAATTGTTAGCAGGGATGTCAAGTTCGTGGAAATGACACCTGGAGCTAGCAAGATGATGAAAAGCAAAAAAAAATCTAGAATTTCTAGATGAAGATGTTGATGATGTACCTGTTAGAGGCACAAGAACACTTTCTGATATATATCAAAGGTGTAATGTTGCAATTTTAGAACCAGAAGGATATATGGAGGCTGCTAAAGATGAAAAATGGAGATATGCAATGCAGGAGGAGCTCAAAATGATAGAAAAGAACAACACATGGGAGCTGGTTGACAGACCATCGCACAAAAAGGCAATTGGAGTCAAGTGGGTTTATAGAACCAAGCTAAATCCTGATGGTTCCATAAACAAGTACAAGGCTAGGCTGATTGCAAAAGGGTACGCACAAATGTTTGGAGTAGATTTTTCAAAAACTTTTGCTCCTGTCACCCGTTTGGATACGATAAGAATGTTGTTAGCTTTAGCAGCTCAACAGGGATGGAAGATACACCAGCTTGATGTGAAATCAGCTTTCCTAAATGGCTACCTTGAAGAAGAAATCTTTGTAGAACAACCTGAAGGTTTTTCTATCAAAGGCAAAGAAGACAAAGTGTACCTTCTAAATAAGGCATTGTATGGCTTAAAACAAGCTCCTAGAGCTTGGTATAGCAGAATTGATGCTATCTTCTGAGCTTAGGCTTTACAAAAAATCTCAGCGAGTCTTCACTCTATATTAGAAAAGAAGATTTTGATTTAACCATTGTTTCTTTGTATGTAGATGACTTGCTAGTTACAGGTAGCAATTTGAACTTGATCAATTTGTTCAAGACTAAAATGATGGAAGTTTTTGAGATGACAGACCTTGGTGAAATGTTCTACTTTCTTGGCATGGAAATTCAGAAAAAAGGACATGAGGTCTTCATATGCCAGCAGATATGCTAAAGAAATTCTCATAAAGTTCAAAATGGAAGTATGCAAGTCTACAACAACTCCTATGAATCAAAAGGAGAAGTTTTGCAAAGATGATGGAGCTGAAAAGGTTGATGAAGGATTTTATAGGAGCCTGTATGGTTGCCTAATGTACTTGACTGCAACGAGACCAGATATTCTTTATGTTGTGAGTTTACTTTCAAGATATATGCATTGTGCTAGCGAAATTCATTTTCAAGCAGCTAAACGTGTGACTAGATATGTTAAAGGTGCTGCAAATTTTGGCATAATGTTCAAAAAAGCATCAGACTTTCAGTTTCTTGGATTTTCTGATAGTGATTGGGCTGGTAGCTCAGATGATATGAGAAGCACCTCAGGTTACTGTTTTAATCTTGGTTCTGGAATGTTCTCTTGGTGTTCAAAGAAGCAAGATATTGTGGCTCAATCTACAGCTGAAGCAGAGTACATTGCAGCTGCATCAGCTGTGAATCAAGCACTTTGGATTCGGAAGCTACTGACAGATTTTGTACATGGAGCAAATGAAGAGCACTGAAATCTTTATTGATAATCAAGCTGCAATTTCAATTGCAAATAATCCTGTTTCACATGGAAAGACAACATTTCAAGATCAAGTATTATCTCTTGAGGGAGGTGCAAGAATGGAGACATAGACTTGGTGCACTGCAAAACTGATTTTCAGACTGCTGATATTTTAACTAAGGCCCTACCTAGAGCAAGATTTGAGTTTCTCAGAAAAAGACTTGGGATTGCTGCTCTTGAGTCAAGGAGGAGTGTTGAAAGTGGTGCCTCAAAACCTGGAGATTAGTTCCACTTTCTGCTGTATCAATATACAGCTCAAAAGTAGGATTAAGTTCAGATAAATAAGGCAGCAGTATTTGGCAGAATCTGATTAGTCAATTGCTATATTTTAGGCTTTAGTTATTGGAGATAATGTTAGCTTATTTTACTCCTTTTATTTAGCTTTTTAAGTTATGAATTCATGTATTTATATTGCAGTCATTATTTCACTACAAAAATGCAACTTTACCTTGTTATCTTTTCTTTTCTTTTCTTTCTTAGTCAATATCTGTTATTCTCCTACAGAAGGGTAAAAGATCACCACTGGAAACAATTTCCAGTTCACTAAAAGAGATCAACTCTACTGCATATCTTAGGCTTACTAAGTAATGAATTACGATCCAAATGAATTATTCAATCACTAAAGAGAAAGGAGCAGATCCCCAATCAAAAGATTTCATAGCTGAAGTCAAAGGTGCAAAAAAGGACTCTAGACAAGCTAGTTGAGCATAAAATGAACCGCCAATATAAAAAATATTAGATCGGACAGAATAGAACATACCAGCTCTTGCTCCAGAATCATCATTTTCCGGTCTTGTTCCATCTTAGATCTCTTCAATCCCTCCACTTCTCCCATTAACTTCAAAGATAATTTACCATGATCTATTAGTAGCAGCAAAAGGGAGGAAAGCAACCAGACTGGTAAAAAGGGCAATTTAATTCACCTTAGCTACAAGGGCTAAAGGATCAGAAGGGTTCACTTGTTTGAGCATCCCTAGCACTTCAGAATTTCTATCTTCAGAACCAATGTTATTAGCAAAAGATGTTTGAGAAATATCTCTTTGGCCTTCCTCCTGTAAGCCCATTAAACTTGTTGGTCCATCATCCGGCACTTCCACATTATCATTGTCCATAGAAGATTCTGCATGCTGACTTCCTCCGCAGGATGACTGCCATTCAATATTCAGTTCATTTAGCTTCTGAAGATTCAACTCAGAAACAGTGAGCTCAGAATGTTCACTCTCCTGTCCCGTGTATTGCCTTTCAGACAACTTGCTCTGCTGACTGGAGGGGATTGATTGATTCTGCATCGAACAACTGACAAAGCTTGATATTGATTCAACACGTTCTTCATGTTCCATTAAGCCCCAAGCCTGATACATTTGTCCATCTTTGTCAACAGAAGATGGAAGGCATGATTCCCAATCCATTCTACCTTTATCTGGGAATGGTGAACTAGGATGTGAAGATGAATTCAGCATTGGATCTGTCTTGTCCATGTTAGAAGTTGGATCCATCTTATTCATATCAGAAGCTGATGATTTGAACAATGAACTCCACAACTTCTGTGAATTAGCCATGGGTTCGATTACTGATGTGGATGCACTAGTGCTTCTTAGCACAGAGGCATGTGACTTCTCATAATTTAGGTTCCCAGTGGTATCAGTATTCACCAATCTTGGAGTATCTGCCCAACCATCATGATCTAAGTTCTCCCAGTCTTCTATTTTACCAACTGCATCTATTGGCCCAGTCGTTGGTGAACTTTTGAAAGGATGGTTCAACTTAGATGGAATTTGCAGGCTAATGACATCATTAAAGGCTGGCAAAGATGAAAACAAGTCAACCAATCTTTTGGTTTGGCTTCGATCCAGCTCAAACCAAAACAACTTTGGTGCAAAATAGTTGTCACCAATGATTGAGATAAACTGATTTTCAGTCAAGGGATGGTACAACTTCCGCACTCGGATCCTTACCTTTACAAGAAAGAGACCACATTAGGGTGAGTAACTTGGAATTGCTAACAGTAACAACCCCGTACACCAAAACATGTATGATCAATTCTTGTACCTGTGCTGCATATGGTGTACTCTCTGTTCCATCAGACGTCCACGCATACGGATTGATATTCAGCTGCCCAGGGCTAGCAGCCTCAAAGATGCCATGGAGCTTTCGATCACTATAGTTGAATAGGAATAGAGTTAAGCCAATGTTGATATTCTTCACATATGAGAAATGAGGAGCTGGTAAACCTATTCAACAAGATCAAGAGAAAAATAAAGGTCCATGTTATCTAACTGTTGTGCAATCTTCACCCGATAAAATGGCACTGAAACAAAAGTCTGATCTGAAATTGAAGACTAACCAAATAACTGTTTGAACATGCATTCCTTATATGTCAAATGCTTGCATCCAAAAATTACTGATCCAAGGTCGGCCTTTCTCAGATTCCTAGCTGATGTACTGCCATTAACTGTCGACGTGTATTCGCTTTTCTCCTTTAGCCCCACTGTTGTCGTCTTTCTCCCAGCCCCCATTATTTTGTGGGATAAATGGCCTGCCGGTTGAGGACCAATGATGTTGGAAGTCTTGATTGTAAGAGTTGGTAATCACAATTCTCGTCGAACCTGCACACTATGAATGTCTATGATCAGTAACAGTCAGTACTCAATAACCACCAGAAAAAGGTTAAGATCATACACGAGATTTGTTTCTGCCTCTACCACTAGCGCTTGTCTTTTCAAGAATTAACTAAAAAATATTGATGAGCAGAATTAATTAAGATTGATGGCAGTGTCAAATCCACATGTATCAGCGAAGATAAGTATGTTAAAGCATTTCCATGCTATCGGGGAGGATGGAATACCAGGTTCAAGTAACTTTTATGAGCATTAACAATGTTAAAGCATGACATGCAGAACATTTAGGGATGAAACAACAAATACATATTTCTTATGAGCACAAAAGGTAGCCTTCCTGTTAAGGCCATCTGAAAGAATTACAAGTTCACCAACAGTGGAATTGAACTATGACTGCATCAAAGTGTTTTTTGTGTGTGTGATAAGGTGATTGCATCAACTTGTTGTGATAGCAGTTAGGAACCTTTGTGTAAGGACAGCTTCATAAATGTTAACTATGCTTTGAAGTAGAAGAGAAAAACAAGTAACATCAATAGTAACTAAAGTCGAGGTTCTATTACTGTACTTCTGGGTGTTTTAATGACCAAAATGAGTAAACAAAGATGTCCAGATAGTGAAAAAGAATTCTCAATCTAGACATAAGTTGGACATGTCCTATCTTGAGATCACAAATTGAGAGGCAGAGGTAACCATAAGTGCGTCATATGAACAAACAAAGAAAGGACAAAGTAATAAACAGAAACATGTTGTACGTAGAGCTAATAGGGGGGAGAATGGGAGAATATGCAAGTACAACCCATGGTTGTTACCAAGGAAAAGATATAATAGGATGATAAAACCCTCAGCTGAATTATTTCAATTATTGATCACAGATTTATTGCTAGAGAATTTGGAACATATCTATATAATTACTTGCTTCTTATTGGTTCCCTGCCCCCTATCGATGTGAATGGATTTTTAGACTAAACCCAAGACCGTTTTCTCTTCCTCAGTGGCCAAGTTGAAGTGCTCAACGTCGGCCTACCATTTCTTATATGCTATGCTGCCCCCCTTGTTCAAGAGAAAGTGTGGACTTTCTTTTAGCTACCAGCCCAAACAAAAAAGATTAGCCTCTTGATTGATGATTGATTGGATCGAAGTACGAAGGGGGTGATTGAAGTCTGAGCATGGTACCAATGATAAACCATGGAAGCTCACAAGCAAGCTAAGGAAGAAGCCTCCATTAAAAGGATGAATTCAAGAATGACTGATGCTTAAAATATAGATTTCTATCCTAATATCGCAAACATGGAGTTGAACAAAATGTAGCAGTGTTTGGCATATCACGATATGTATGTAAAGCATGAATTATAACTTTCATGTTTATTCAAAGCTATTTTAGGTACACTCTTGTACAAGGCAACCAAAGGCCGTGATTTAACCATTGCAAAAGATTAAATTACAGTTCAAGACTATGCTGATTTTGCTGGTCTCTAAAGAATTTCCATGCGGTTAAACAACAGGGAGTTTCTAGACTTTAAAGAAGGGAGTATAACTTACACAAACCACAGCAAGTTGGTTATTAATCATTAATGCAAAGGAAAATACAACAAGTAGTGAAATACCATAGAGGAAGGACTCTAACTAAGTACAACTTTCATCAACACAGAAGCTTACAGGTCACAGCATCAAAAACAACAACCAATGGGGAACTTCTTAGAAATCTTGAGCAGCTTTAGAGAAATTGAACAATGGACAATGTGCTACAGGCACCAACTTAACTCAGTAATAAAAAGGTAATAAAGGATAAGGTAGTAGGCCAGATTCTATATTCTACAACTACAAGTAGTCCAGATAAGCATATGGAGTTATATCGCTAAGAGTTTTTAAGCTTTCCAGGAGTACTTAATATTTTGCAATTATAGCAGGTTGTATTAATCTTAAGCAAAATGATGACATTCTAAGAATCAAATATGTTGCTAAATTGTGAAATATGGTAAATAGCCCAAAGTTTTTTTTTGGTTTCCAACTTCTGAATTGATGAAGCATTCTCAAAATAAGTCTCTTTGCCAGTCTTGATTTTCTAAACATGTACAGAAGGCAACTTCATTTGAGCAGTGATGATGACTTTGAATGTAATGATATAACAAGCAATCTACTTCAGTTGTAAATGAAACACCATGTGCAACTCCTCTGGAGTCTAGTGCATTACTCCTTTGCTTGACAAATTTAAAATAGTTTCAGAAGATTTGAAGAAAAAAAAAACAAACTTCTTTCTAAGACTAAAATTTCTAACCTCAAACAACCCATACCAACTTCACAAGACACCTATGGAAACAAAACGTAGCTAAAGATACAGCATTAATGTCCAGCTCTGTACCTTGATACAGCAGCACAGCATTGTTAGTAAAATTCTATACATAAACAAGTACTGAAACATAAGAAAAACCTAAAGCCATGAGAGCAAAAGTTCTGAAATCAAGTAAATACAACTGTATCAAACAAAATAGAAACAACCCGGGCAAAACCCAGCGTTACTCAACTACCTATATACTTACATTTGCATCATACCTTGCAATCACAAAATACGAAAAATGTATGTTGCAGCAGAAACAACTCCTCCTACTAGAGCACAACCAGTCGTTTTACAAACAGAAACTAAAAAAAACCCATTCTTAACCATTTCAAAGCCAAAATTGAAAGTAAAATCGGAAATCGAATTACAATCTAACAGCCATGGATGCATCCTGCAGGTAATTTAGTTTCGTTACCAAAAATAGGTCACATTAAAATATGATTCGCTTCTACGAACAGTAGTGAAACCTAGGAAATAACAGTGTAAAGATACTCCAACACAAAATGAGAAGAAACATAGTGTTAAAAAACACTCTTCACTTCAACGAACACTACAGTACTGAAAAGTGAAAATACATTAGCACTTCAACAACATGCTTCATATCATATATAGTAAAAAAACAGCAGATTTTTCGAAGACGATCACGTCTTAAGCATCAATATTTGTGGAAACATCCAGATAATTGTTCAATAAAAGGCAGAAACGGTGATCATTAAGCATCAAACTGAAGAAAAAAACCACCTTTGCACGTTTCAAGTGAGAATGGAAGAGGCGAGAGACCTTCCGCACAATGGTGAGAAGAGTGTGCAGTGACTATATAAAGAAAAATCACACTAATAAGCTTTTACAAATTATAATGTATATTTATTAATGTTCTACAATTTTCAAAAAAGAAAAGCAGAGTGAAGAAGAGACACCGAGAGCCCATAAGTTAATTTTAATTAAAAGAAAAGATATAAATTTATATTTGGCACTTTTGTTTTTTTTTCCGTTTCACCTTTATTAATCCCTCTATGTTTACAATTTTTGGGGCAATAAATTGTTCAAAGCTTACCACGGATGTTTGAAGTTTTTCCATATTTATCATTTTCTTTAATAAAGTTTGATATTTTCTATAAGATAAATTGCACTCTTATAAAGTTACCAAAGAGTATTTTTGTGATTCAATACAGTACAATAATGAAAAGTATGATTTAAATTATATCCTAAAATATTTTTCCTGATAAGTGTGTATTGCCTCAAAAATTCAGTCAATATGAAATAGAGGAAATGTTGTTTTAATTTTAAGAAGGCAAAGAGACATTAATTTATGAGAACTCACATAAATATCACTAGTTTAATTGTTAATTACTTGGATACAATCTAATTTGCAATAATATATATTTTACCAGATTTTTGATATGTCCGGATATGTTCAATATGCCCAGATACATGTATCTCACGATACATGATGTCAAATCTGTTCTAGATACAATGTATTCAAGTAGATTCACATGTATTTGTAATACATAACAAATCTCGCTTGCCTCTCTCTCATCCTGCTCTATGTATCTGGTATCCAAGTACATGCGAATCATATGTATCTAGTGTGTATTTAGTATGATCTGCATGTATCTGAGATATAGCGAAATCTCGTTCTTCTCTCTCTATCTTAGTGTATCTGATAGCAAAAATATATATATTTAAGTGTATATTTTTCAATATATAGTACAAAACTCTTAGTTAGTAGTAAGATGCGTATTATTTTGAAAGTATAAATAATACTTGTATATATGACATTGAAAAATGTCTAATTATAGTTTCTCCTTAATGACATTGAAAAATGTCTAATTATAGTTTCTCCTTAATTTATTCATTCAAAAAATATTAGAGTAATTTTAATCAAATATTTTTTTTCTAATATTAATGTTATGAAATACCATTATTAACAAACTACTATAAATAATTTATCATTTTTGCCAGTGTGTAGTTTTATACTTGGCTATAAAAAGTTACTTAGAATTGATTTTTCAACCAATCACAATGTGGAGAGTGGAGACCCTTGACATTCCAAAATACGCATGAAAAGCTGCCATGCTCTACAACTAGTCTATTACTTGCCAACTCACAAGTTTACTAATTAAGGTGGCGAGATTAAATGCAATTGAGCAAATTGACCGACTTACCCCTCCAAATCCTTTTAAGCCGTTACATAAATCATTTCTTTGTTTTTGTTTTTTTTCTCAAGGTGTTCAACATTTGGTTGTTACTCCTACTGTATTTTTGCTTTTTTATCTGTTCAATCTATTCTTTTACGGTCTTTTTTTTTGGAACAAGACAGACATCATTAAAAAAATACTGCAATAGATGTGGTGGGTTGTGACTTGTAAGGTGGATAAATTCAAAATATATTTCTATGTAAGTAACGGAACTACTAATTAGGAAAATGTTATTGTTTTGCTTTTTAAAGAAACTAGTCGTACTTTCCATTAAGATAAAACGGAATATGGCCAAAATACCCCTTGAAAATAGAACTAAAATAGTGGAAATTTTAAAAAATATACGAGCAGAGGCGAATCCAGAATTTGAAGATAGGAGGCACCATTAAAATTTAAGAGTGGCACAAGGGTAAGACTAGGAATGGCTTAAGGATAAGTTAGCAAAGCGCCCTACTTAGGCCTCCAAAATTTTGAGGCCCCAATAATTTTGGCCTAAGGGTAAGGTTAGCAAAATACAACATATTTCTTCATACTGGTACTCCAACCATCTAGAATATGAACCCTTAAATCATGACTTACAAAATCGATGCATTTTCATTCCGAATCTAGTTTGAGGATATTCATTATCATTAATATCCGGTTGACAAGGCCCACGCTGAATATAGTATCTTCTCACTTCATCTCATATTCTAGGGCTATATTTATCAATGGACATTCTTTCTGCAGGATCCGATTTAAGTGATTGCAAATCAAACTCATCTATAAAACGCGAAGAATTGTCTCTAAAACTAGAACTTGGTTGAGAAGAATTATATTTCGTCAAAAATCTATCCATTTCAAATCACAAGAATCAACAACAAATTCTTACAAAAAAAAATACGCTTATAAAGAAGAACTTACCAATTTATGCGAGATAATAGGAGTAGGACTTCAATTATACAGTGAAGAATACTTGTAAGTTGTAAGTTCTAGATTTTCTAGCCGTCTTATATTTTGTTTAA